TGATGGAGAATAAAGAGGCACGGTAACTAAGTGTGGGGCGTTATTCTGAGCTGGATCTTTTTACTATGTAGAAGATCGCTAGGGCAACGAGTAAAACTTGAGTGGTGCTTGAGAATTATTAGGTAGTAATGTATCAGGTTCAGTTTCCTGACTTTGACAGTTATATTGTTATTATATAGTACAAAGTCCTTGTTTATAGGAAGTACACACTAACGTATTTGGGGCTAATGGGACATCATGTTGGCAACTTTCTAATATACTTGTAACTTTTCTGTAAATTTGAGACTTTTCAAAAAAAAAAAGATAGGGCCCTCTGGAGAGTTGCTGTACAAGTTCATATATATCAACAGGACTTAAAACTGGAAGTGAGAGAGAAACGCTGGTGGGAAGAAAAGAGGGGGGCATTGTGTGTGAGAGAGGCAGAGATTGATAATGGTAGAGATTGCGTGAAATAGAAGAAACGATGATAGCAATATAATAATATAGAATAAGGAACAAGTTAGCAATGGAGCATAATGTCTTTATATTAGGGCACATTCGTGTTAAGGTGTGTGTGGCTATAATCAAAATGGAAATGCCATTCATTACGCAGGTGGAAAGCGCAACCTTGTCAGCAGGATCTGGATTAAAGGGTTGCCATTTGGTACCATTTTCACGTAGGTACTTAGGTACAGTCCTAGAAGTCGTGAGGATGCCCTGGGTTGGAAGAGGAAAGTAACAGGGCTTTTGGTAGAGCCTAGTGGTAGAACATTAAAGGACAAGTGGAGAAGACTCAGCAAAGGAAAATGAGCAAGAAAAACAGGAGAGACGATATTCTGGAATTTAAAAAGAGAATTCAAAGGAGAAATATGTGATCAGGTAACATCAAGTTCCTCACAGTGATGCTGTGATTCGAAAGCTTTTTATTTTTTCAAATTCTGATCATGATTTGAATCATAGTGTTCTTCCTGAAAGAAACGCTCCTTCTTAAATGCTGTCGTTACTTGAATTGTATCATATTCATTTAACATTTTTTTAGCACCTGCTATGTGCCAGTCACAATCCTGTTATTCAGAGCTACCACACAAAGCAAAAGTAGACATGTTTCCAGTCCACATAGATTTCATAATTCAAAGGGAAAGACAGCTATTGATGTTACCAAACAGTTATAAAGCTGCTAGTGTGACAGTGCTGTAAAGAACAGCAGAATTGTATTACGAATCCCTTTAATAGGTTGTTTTTATTTTTACCTAGTTAAGGAGCTCCGGAAAGATTTCTTTGAAGTAACAATTGAATTGAAATTTGAAGAATGAGTAGAAATTAGCTAGATAAAGTGGGGAAGAAAGTCTTATCCAGGTGGAAGGAACAGCATGTGCAAAAGCCTTAACACGGAGGCAAGAAGTGAAGAAAGGCCGTGTAGTTGGAATGTGCATGGATCTCAATGGGGAGTGTGGTTTGTGGAGATGTCAGTAATAACTAGACAATGAAGAAGCCTTATGGCCGTGCCATGTTGAGTATACCTTTATCGAAAGAGGATCAGAGAACCGTAAGGTTTTATAGAGGAAGAGATGAGAAGCATCAGTTTTGTGCTTTAAAAACCCCGTGAACTCAGTGTAGGACATTGTGTAGGCGAGCAGAAGTGGACGAGTCCAGGTGCCAGTTTCAGAAAGAGACAGCACTAGAATTGAAGAGGACTAGGTCAATAATTTGGTTTTAACTATGCTGAATTTGAGATGGGTTTATTTATTCAACAAATGTTTACTGAGTACTTGAAATGTGTCAGTTATTGTCTAAAGCTCTGGGGATTAGGCAGTGAACAAAAGGAATGAAAATCATTGCCTTCGTTGAGTTTACATTATAGTGATAGTAAGCACTCCAGAAGTGTGTATTGTATGCTATGCACTGTACCAAGCATTTTGTAAATATCATCTTATATAATCTTCACAACAACTTTATGAATTAGGTACTATTATTTTTCCCATTTCACAGTTGAGGCAAATTAAGTGTAAAGATATACTATCGCTTGTAAGCATTTAGATAGATGGATCTAGAGCTCAAAAGAGATCTTTACTGGGTATATAAGGGGTGTTAGTAAAAAATACAGCCAAATGAGAAACCCATTTTTTTCTTTAAAACCTATCTTGTTTTCAGATTGGATGCTTTTAACTTCAGTTTTCTTAAAAATTGTCCCTAGAATGCACCCTCTTGTGTCAAGAAATAAGTATACTACTAATACTAACGTTGGGGATGGCAGTAGTAGCAGCACCAACTTCTCTTACTACTCAGAGGTGCCTTTACTAAGCTGATATGATGTATTATTTATTTTATGAGGTAAATACTATTAGCTCCTGCATTTATTTTAAACACAGAGCAGGAAGAGTCTAAACACTGAATCTTNTTAGATGAAGGGAATCTGTTTATAATGATATGAAAAATTTTAAGTTACCATGTTTGGTAATGATTTTATTAACCAGAAAAAATCTGAATCAAGCTTTAAAATTGAGCCAAAAGTATGTTCTGACCTCATCCAATTAAATTTATTCTAGTGTAGCATATACAGAAGGTATCAAAATAGTTGATACTTGTTTTAATGGTTGATTGAGTATAAGGCAAACGAAAGTTGAAAATATACTTTTCCCAGCACATAAACATGATAATTATCTTTTATTTTATGCTTGGGACAGTTTTGTTCTAATTTTGAAAAAAAAAAAAAGTTCTTTAGCAGAAAGCTATTAGACCATTGAGAATTGAACACCAGAGCATGTGGTGTGTATTAAGAGTACTGTTGGTAATTTTACTGCTGCTAACTTAAAATCCTCAAGGGGGAGTTAATTACAGGAAAACCATTCTAAATATCAGTAAGCTGCATATTTTCCATGACAAGAGGTTTTTCAGTTGAGGTTGAACAATTCCAGAATCTGAGCTTGTAAAAATAAGTAAATAAATAAAAAGTGGGTGTTTGTATGCGTACAGTAGACCTATAATACTTTAAAATTTTTTCATAAAATTTTATTAAATTCAGAAGTTAGTGTGTTTTTAATGTGTCAGCATGATGAGAACATGTTTAAAAATGTAAAAATTCCAGTTGAAAGGGATAAGAAATTATTTTTAATGGTCATTTAAATGAATGGGAATTTATTTACTGAGCTATTTTAATTATAGCGTTTTTGTCCCTCCCCCCACTTTCCTTTCATATAAGCTTTGTGTACCTCACGACATGTATGGCAATAATCAGAGAAAACAGTGAGAAAGTTGTTGAATTTAATAGTTGTTTCTGATGTGTTTGGCATATGCGTATAAAATTTAGCTTTGGAAATGAATAATTTTTTATTCTGTATTTTTTGTTATGATTCTGACTTAACCTTTTAAAATGCGCTATGAGAAACATAGGAATTAGTAAGCTAACCAGTAAATTACATATACATTCATATATGTATAGTGGCTAAGATCCCAGATCCTGGTGCCACACTGCCTGGATTTAAATAAATCTTTACTTTTCACTAGCTGTGTTGCCCTGGGCAAGTTATGTAACCTCTCTGAGCCTGTTTAGTCACCTGAAAAGGAGAAATTAGCAGTGTTTATGAGAATTAAGAGAGTTAAATATGTAAAATGCTTTGAACACTCCCTAGCACATGGTAAGAGCTCTTTAATATTAGCATCATTATTATTTCTGTTTTGAAGAAGGAATTGTAAGTTCAGGAGATCAGAATGTAACATACTGCTTTTGTACTAAATTCTGACTGGCAATTGCTAATTTATTATAATTTATCTTATAAGAAAATATATAAGATGGTGATTTCTCTTGTACTTCTCAGTAACCAATTTGTGTTTTAGTAAAATTAATGGTAAATTGGAAAACATCTTGTTTTGGCTAAGAGCAGTGTTTATAATTTCAGACTAGGGAAATATAAACACTTGAAATATAAACAATGATATAAAAACATACAGCTATTTTCCAAAAATATTATTAGGCTTTTGGGGGTATAATTTTTTGTGTGGCTAAAATAAAGCCATTTAAATTACGTACTTTAAATTTTTCTCAAATATTTACTGAGACCGTCATATGTGTGCAGCATACTTATGTGGGTATGAAGGAAATAAGATTTTATTTACCCATAGTGGGTATTCAAGATAAATATAGAAAGTTTCTTTCCATGACTTTCTTATTTAACAGGAAGCACCTATATTCTTTTAAGTAGTGCCACAAGTATTGTATGTAAATAATTTATACATGGTGAACTCACAGTAAATATAATAAAAATAAACTTTTATTTTAATGTTATCCATAACCATACCTATTAAACTCAAAGAAGCTTTGATTTGTCTGGTTAACCAGGTAACATCCATGTAGTTTAACTATTTAGCATAAATTATATAGGCATATATTAGCCATGTTGCTGCAAATGGAGTGCTTTCTCCTCTGTGGGTTTGGGGCCTTAAGCCTAGGCATAAAACTGCAGTGGAGTGAAAACCTCCCCATCTGATTTCCATATCAATAGCCGCTGCCTGGGTGGATCAGGTGCTTTGCCTCTGGGATTTCCTTAGCTAGAAACCGGCCTGTAGGGGAAGATGCTAAACTTTCCCTACTGTGACACTAGGAGCTTTAAAATGTCACAATCGAGAAGTTAGTATCTGGTTTTATGTGTTTCTTAAGGAGAAAGCTGCTCAAAGCAGTGGAGTCACTCTGAAGGGATATGGGCTCCGAAGCCAGCTTTTTGAGTTGCAGTGTTTTCTCCTTTCAGCCGCACCCCTGCCCCTCTTTCTGGTTCCAGTGTTGGCTGTAGGTGCTCCTCAGAGCTGCGTCTTCACTCCCTAGATGGCGTGGTCCCTTTCCCCCGTCTCTTCCTTTCCTGCTGCTTTGTCCCAGAGCCTGAGAGCCTGGTGCTGCAGCTCTCCACTGGCGGCGTGCGGCTCAGGCAGTGGGGCTCCTTGCCCAGAAGCCGCCCGTCCCAGGCTTTCTGTTATGTTTGCCCCCGGGGTGTCTTAGCCCTTTAGTTTAAACACAGGGAGGAGGGAGGTAGTGTTTGAGCCTCCACTTAGCTTCCACACCACCTTGCTCCTGGATATTTGTATAAGGTCTGACATGGGGGTGCGGGTGGGGTGAGCTGTAGGCACGGGCCAGGTGAAGGAAGGAGGGAGGATGGAGGAGGGAGGCAGAGAATAGAATGTAGCTTCTCAGAGCTGCTAGCTCTTCATGAGTGTCAGCCATGGCTTCAGTATTTGGCCTGAATCCTCATTGGCTACTCTGACCCCTCTCCTTCAGAGCCACTCCTCAACCATTTCAAAGTGTCTGTCAGGACGGCATTATTCCAGGAATGAATCAGGCTTTCTTATTTTTCAGTGTTAAGCAGATATTGTTACTAAAACTAGGTTCTGATTTTTTTCTACTGACAAATTTCCAAAAACGTGCTGCCTTTGAACCCTCTCCTGCCCTAACTATAAGTAAATAAATGGTTTGGTGAGCTGTGCAAGGGTCAGATTTAATGGGATTAGGGTGCTTGTTCAGGGTAGCGTTAAGCTAGGTTTGGGGAATAGTGTTTGTCAGAAGGAGCATGCGTGCCATCCCAGCCGCTTCCCCCGCCGCGGACGCCTCTCCGTGTAAAAATGATTGACCTCCTTTGGCCACCTGTCCTTACCTCAGTTCCCTGCCCTTCTGCCAAAGCCCCCTTCCCAGAGCTGATGGACAGCTTTGTTGCCTTTTCATTTCAGCTGCAGATGAAGATATCCTCGCTAAAGGAAAACAGTCCATCAAGAGCCAGGCTTTAGGAAATCAGAGCTCTGAAAACGAGATCCTCCTGGACGGCGACGACGATACTCTGTCATCCGTGGAAGAGAAAGATCTAGAGAATCTCACCGGTAAATGCCGTGGTTGAGCAGCTATTTCAGCCAGCTCTAGGCCAATAAGCCTCTAATTACTTACTGTTTCAGCCGTGAGGGCTAGCACTACTAAGTGTACCCCCCCTCCTCGATTACATTAGATAATTTCTTTTTGTTCTTTCAAACATTTTCCACCTAACCTTCAACACTGTTTCACCTTTGTTTTTCTATTCTTTCAGTCTCTTTAGGCTATTCATCTTTTTTATTTTAATGAATAATTTTCACTGAAAAAGAAAAAAAAGTTTAAAAGCAGCAACTGCAAAAAAGATTGCTTCACCCATCCCATGGGAGTTACCTAATCTCTCTAAAATGAGAGCTCTAAGTAAAATTCTGCCAGTTGTTTTGTAAATAAAGCTTGGGGGCTGATGAGCCGTTTGCTTTGATATACCTGTCTAAGAGAACGTGCTGCATATACATTTAACGCTCTCAAGAAAATCCGTTCCACGAATGATATGGCTTCTCACAAGATTCACATATTTTACCTGATGTAGGAATTTTGACTTGCGCTTTGCAGATTTTCAATTTTACTCCCCTTATGGGAAAAATTCTCTTGTTTAGCCTGAAATTTCAGTCATTCATTAAACGTTGTTTTTTCCTCTAATGCCTGTGGCTCTGTCCTTCAAGGCAGAAAGTCTGAAAGATTCTACCGTTTCTTTGTTGAAAATTATATAATCTTCTGTTTTGATCATTTTAAGAGAAAAGGCATTAGAAATATTATATTGAGTGACGTATCGACACAAACTGTGCAACTATACAATGAAAGATAATGATAAGCAAAAACAGATAATGGTGTCTTCTCTGATGACCATAAGCCTCTGTGTAAAGTAGCGTAAAATTAATTGGAGCCTAGTGTTCAGGGATTTGGGTGGGAGTAGAGAGGAAGGTGGACAGTGCTATTTTCCAGTCGTTCCCTTCATATCCATTTACTCATTTCCTCCTCCTCTCTTTTGCTTCTATTCTTGCTACTAGTAATACATTCATACAGTAATAGAGGTGAAAGGGGAGTTTAATTATATAATCTTGACAATGGCAATAGGATTAAGAAGTAATCCACACTAATAAAGTGGTGTGGGTTAGAAATGAAGTGGAAATTGTCAGGGGTCTTCTTTAGGACATAGGCTGCCTTAGCTCCTGCAGCTGTCTGCTTACCCTGTAATTGAATGTCTGAGAGTGATTGAAAAAATGTTATTTCTTCTCAGGATTACATGCTAATGTACAGAGGGCAAAGGAGACAGCAAAAGAACACATAGCTGCTTACTTCATCCATTTATAGGGATGAGCTTTGGGAAATCATGGCTGTTCCGCTGGTATCTGCTGCCCATCTGCAAACACAATGTATTTGTACATTGGGAATAGGGGGCAAAACCTGCTCTGATCTCCGCAGCGCATCCCTCCTATTGTCCTGCTGGCACACATTAAGATTGATGTGAGATTAAGGACCAACACCCTTCGGACAATCGATGGAAACGTCAATTCATCTGAATTTTGAAACACTTATTCACCCATTGATTACCTGAATAGGTGTGCCGTGTTTATAGGCACTATATTAATTCAGACCTCTAAGTGCCAATCTTCTCTTGCTGCTTTCTTCACCTATAGAATTTGTACAATGAGGAATTGACATGGGATTTCAAATCCTTACCACAACCAGCTCTACACACACACACACACACACACACACACACACACACACATAAATGTATATGTATAATAAAAATCATTATTTTCAGTCCTTACTTTAGGTTTAGCTCTAATCCACTTTCTGCTCTTCTATCTGTATTGAATCTATTGTTTTCAGTAGCAGGCTGATTTGTCTCTTTGATAAGCTCTGTGGAGATTTGATTATTCCAATAAAAATTCATTCACTTGGAAACCCACCCTCCAGCTGTTTACTCCCAGAGTCCCTGAACTACACTAATATTAGATTTGGAAGCGTTGAACAATATTTAACAGTGGAAAGGCAAGCTTAGAAAATAAGTATTTTTGCCAGTCTTTCATGGGGAAAGTTGTTATGGGACAGGTTTTGTGTCAATCTGGCACAAAATCTTTAGCAGAGACTACGGTGTAATGTTTCTCACGTTGCTAATAAGCTAGTGATCTTTTTGTAATCATGCCTCCGCCAAACTCGCAGCTAACCTCTGGCCTTGGGAGCCCATGGAGTCCCGCTCGCTCCTGCTCCTGGTTGCCCTGCCATGTTGTTTGATAGCCTGAGGCTTGTTTTCTAAATGGAATGTGGATGGACTTATTTAGGCAGAGCCGCCCTCTTACCATGAGATTAGACCAAAGCTTTGCAGACTCCCCATAAAATAATTGCCTCCTAGTTTACTGTTTTCATTAATTGCCTATGATAAATCTCCTGGTTATGAGAATCCTAACTTTGCATTTTCGGAGGAAGATTTGGGGTGGACAGAATTTGTAAGTGTAGGATTTGGCAGGCAACGTGGTCCTGGAGGTGAGAATTTTAAAATTAAAGTTTTGCTTGAAATCTATTTGAATTTTTTTGAAAACTGTCACTCCAACGTGTGCGGCTTGTCTGTTCCTTTTGGCAGGTCCTGTTAGCCTGAGCACACCCGCTCAGCTTGTGGCCCCCTCTGTTGTGGTAAAGGGCACTCTTTCTGTCACCTCCTCCGAACTCTATTTCGAGGTGGATGAAGACGACCCCAACTTCAAGAATATCGACCCCAAGGTGAGCCGTTGAGGAGCCGGTTTCATTTTGATGGAATTGTATTTTCCTGTTGTTGGATGGTGTGCTGTGAGGTAGGGCTGGCCTTGGGGAAGTCTGACAGACTTAGTTGGAATTTCTTGCTGAATTGCCTCTGCCTTTCTGCAAGGCAGCTCTCTTCTTTACCTTATGATTCCCTTACTGGCTAGTTAGATTATTGAAGTTCATTTAGATTCAAAAACAATTCCCACTTAATTGCATTTATCATTAGCTCATTCAAGGGTAGGGGGAGACCCTCAGGGAATATCTTCTGTAAATATATTTTGCCTCAAAGGGCCCAGAGTGAATTAAGCTACAAAATTCAGTGAGAGTGAGAGAGAAATGATTTTGTTTAGCCTTTATATTTTCTGGATATAATACTAATATATCACTTGCCTTGCTTTGTCCTCATGACTTACTGCTCTGCCGCGCGTGCATGTCTTGCGTGTGTATGAGATACCTCTGGTTCCCATTACCTGTAGCCGATTTTACAAGGCACTGCATAATTTCCTATTCTTAAATGAAAATGTAATGTCCCTTTTAAAATGTATTTCTGGTTACTTTTCAGACCTTGGCAACTTTGTTTCACTAAAAAACATTTGTGCCACAGCCATAAGGCCAAAATTAGGTTTATTTCATGAAAGGGAATGGCAGAATTTGTTCTGAGAGAAACAATCTCTTTTAAAAAGAAATGAGCAAAATAAGCATCCTGTAGAGAGAGAAGTGGTTTAAAAAAATTGGAATGCTTTCTTTTACAGGCTGATAGCTTGTGCGTCTGTGTGTGTGTGTGTGTGTGTGTGTGTACACATACATGCAAACATACGTACATACACATACAATTCTGAGTTTATTGGTGGGAGGCTCTTTGGTTTTGTAATCATGTGCATTATTAAATTTTAGTGATTTAGAAGTATTTCAAAGTAGCTCCTGATGAAAATGTTATAATTTTATTAAAAACTTTATAGTCACCTCTGGTCTTACCCATGTTTCTAGCACATTGTTTCAAAATTGCTGCCTCTATGAAGATAGGATTTGGTAGACTGTATGAAAGGAAGGCTACGATGGGACTGATTATTTTGACCATGATAATTCAGCTAAGGCAATAGAGAGAAATCTTTAATTCAGAAATTACACCAACTAGAAAAATTTTCACTTTGTTGCATGGCTGAAATGTCTGAAAATGTATTTCAGTTTCTTTAGGAAAGAAAGGTGACCAAAATTACTTAAACTCTCTTAATATATGATAGTTTGTGAGTTTGAGAGTCTGAAATTTAATTCAGAATATTCCATTATGTTTCTGGACATACATGGTTTAAAATCTAAATTGTGATTTAAAGGTACCGAAGGTAATCGTACTCAATATTAGAAGTTCTGCCAATCTTTGCAATTAGGTTCTTTGAATTTATTTACTTCTTTGGAAGAAGTCATAACTTTTATTTCTCTCTGATCTTATTCTGTGTAGCATCATTAAATTAATTTTTTTCCCCTGTTGCTTGTGTGATACAGGGATCTTTTACCCTAATCACAGAAATTTTACGGTATCACAGCAACCTGCCTAATATTACAGAAGTGAAAACTTCTGCTAATTTGTATTTAAATTTTTTTTCAGCCAGTTATGGGAAGAATGTTTGATTTTGTATAGATGCTGGTGCTTTAAGGTATTTGTAATGAGGCTACTGTGTTGCTGCAGTGTTTTTCTTTTTTAGTTGTATAAAATTAAATAAGGAGGGGAAAAGATACTGAATTTGGGGAATTTTTGTTTCCTCTTGTCAAGACTTAAAAACTTTTTCCAGGGATACTGGAGGAGCTATGTGTCTAATGCTCTATATACTTTTGAGCATGCAAAAATGTCATTTTAAGATGTTTTAATCTTTTAAACTAAGCTTTGTGCCCTTAAATCATTTCTTAGTCAATGTAACCACCTACTCCTAGCTTTGAAACTGTTTGAAAATCAGAGCATTTCCTCCAGAGAATAAATTCCTTGTTATTAAAAAATTAGTGTATTGGTTCCAGCCGGTTAGTATCACAGTGAGTTTGTTCTACATCTACAAGGGAGACCAGAAATAGATATAGGTTGAAAAGTTGGAGATGATTTCGGAACTGATAAGATCAAAGTTTATATTTCTAACACAGAACTATTTTAACTAGGGAATTCTTACCAGGAAATCTTACGACTTAAGCCTGTTTTGTCAAGTGAGGTAGGCTACAGAGCCCTGAGCACCTTTCTTGTTTTACATCCATCTCTGCTGTCCTGCCACTCATCCTCCATCACACTTCCTTCCCCAAACAAACTTCTTCCTCTGATCTTTAAAATTTCTGTTCAGAACATTTTTTCGGTATATCTCTCATCTATGGATTTTTCTCAAATTAAAAACTGGGCTAATTCAAAGAATACATTTTAAATATTATAGGGAAACATCTGACATACATTCTGTACCTGTGCCTCATCATTAGCATATATAATGGAGTATATAGTTGCCTTCAACATAAAGAAGACAAGCCAGTTCCTTTCCCTGTCCATCCCTATCAAAAGGGATACTTTCACTTTTACCAGTTATTTTATTTTCCAATCAGCTGTTCCCCTGCATTAAAAAGAAACAAAGTCAAAATGTTGACATGAGCACATTGGATTGTTACCTTGGAAAGGCAGAAGGCATAGGAACTTAACTTTTTGTACTTGTAAATTCTTGAAACAGTAATCTTTCTTTGGTCATAAAGTTGTATCAAAACCTTCTTTGTTTAAATTGCCTATCAGATGCTTCGAGTAATTCTGAATAATTCTGGGAATTTGATAAAAAATGATCTTAGTTTGGGCATTTATAACTAAGCTGTTTTAAGAATTGAAGTAATTCATAATTCTGGATTGTTCATATCACCATTTGCTAGGAAAAGGAATATTGCTATGACCATTTTATTCTTTTCTGTGTGGCTGATTTAACTATTAAGTTTTTATTATTTAAAGCTTGAAGAGGACAAAGATTGAAGGAAAACTATCAACTGATCATGTTAACTATGCAGAAAAGATCCATAAATATTTCCTTTGCATTTCAGACTCAGAGTGGATTTTTAAAAATTATAGCATAAAAGCAAGCCTCTTAATTTTGAATGTGAAATTTTTTTTTTCTATTTGAAAAATTAGGATCAAAATCTGTTGCTCCATACAAGAGCTGTTCTTTTCTTCTAGTGTAAAACAAGCTATTACTTTTAATCTTAAAATCTACAGAACAAACACAGATTATATAGTTGGGTAAAATTAATGTTTTCTTTTTTCTGAGGATTTTTAGTAGAGATTTGTATGGTTAAACCTACAAAATGTGCTGTATTTGTAAATTTTGCAATTTAGTGTTCACATGGCAGCTTCTTGTATTTAGTTCCTCAAATTCACATCTTTACATTGTAAATTATAAATTGTGAACTCGCCTGCCTTCATTTAAGAACAATCCACAAACAGTCAATTACAATGTAAAGTAATGTTTTTATTACTGTTTTCAACAAGACTGCTTAGGGTGAGGGTAGAGGTGCAAGAGAGGGAGGGGCACGATCTGACATTGGCACTGAGATACATTTAACATCAGAAAACTTTTCTTAAAAGAGAAATTTTACATATAATTAAATACTTTTTTTTCACTTGGTGACAACATTCAGGCAACCCAAAACAAAATGAAATGAGCGAGGGAGACGGAGGAGAGAGGGAGGGAGGGGAAGAGAGAGAGA